GAGCAGGCCAAGGTTTGATTAGCTACTTTCAAAAACACAGTGCTGCTAGAAATCCCAGGACTGTTTTCAGCTGAAGGTGAGTCATAGGTGAGACTCTGCAATGAAGTAAATTTTTATATAAATCATAGACTCTTTATATAGCTAGCATGGTATGGTCATGATGGTGACATGATAAACTTAATGTCAATCACAGAATCAGAAGTGCCTCAACATCTATATTTCTAATGATTCAGCTTCTCTCCATAACTTGTTTTGTGCCAAATAATCTTACCGATTAACCTCAATCTTCAACAAGGTGTTTATTTTAATCTTGCCTTTTTATTTTAATTTGACTCCCAATAAAATGTAAGTGATTTTTCTGATTACTGCATTTTTGTAATATCGTTGTTTTCTGAAACAATTCAACTTGATACACTACAGGAAAACTACAATGTGTTTATTGGGTTTTTTTTCATTTGATTTTTAGACAGTACATGCTAACACAGCATAGAGTGTGGGGTTCAGAGCTGTTTTGGTGGCACAAAAAGAGGATGGTACTTTTATTGTTGTGTTATCGATTAAGGGTAAGCTTCAAGCTGCAAGTCTGTGCATATGTACAGATGACATACTGTAAGAAGATTACTCAAGAGCTTTGGCATGCAGTGAGAGGGTGTATGTCATGTATAATAACTGTACTGGACACTGTGTGTGTACAGACCCACCTGGTAGCTGCTGTTTTTGGGAAGTGCAACTTCCTGCATGGCATGGCTGTGTACAATGCCTTCAACAAACTTCAGGTGGGACCCTCTGACTGTGATCTTCCTGTTCCCACTGCAGGACACAGAGAGCATAATTTTAGTCACAGCAGAGAACCTTTCAAAAGAATGTTGATTACAGTGACTCCAGTGTTGGTCAAGTTACTTGAAAAAAGTAATCAGTAACTAATTACTGATTACTTCCCCCAAAAAGTAATCCCATTACTTTACTGCTTACTTATTTTCAAAAGTAATTAATTACTTAGTTACTTAGTTACTTTTTAAAAACACGATTTACAACCTGAAGAGGTGATAAAGCGATAGATCTCTCAGCCCAATTCTACTTTTTCTGCATAATCCATCATACAAAATGTAATCAAATGGAAAAGTATCTTTTTTTAAACTTGTTTTTATCAGTTTTAATCTTTTTACTTCATGCATCAAGCAAAAATTTTATTATATGCAACATTCTCTGACTGGAAGAAATTAGTTTAACATTTAAACCTATTTTCTGCACATTCCAGCACATAAAATAAAATATTTTTTGTGTTTACACTCACTCTTTCAAATAGATGCACAGCATAAAAAGAAATAGAAAATAAATAAAGTCAAAGACTCAGTGGTCCTGTTGCTCTATTTTCACCTGTAAAGCAGGACTGTGGTAGGCGGAGGTTTACCCTGGTGCAGGTGTGCCGCGGTCAGTTGAAGAATCCGCGAGTTTCTCTGTGAATTTCCCATTACGTCGTAGCGCACTCGATGCTTATTTAGGGGTTTTTTTCGCTGTAAAAAGAAGTTTTCTTCCCATGCATGATGGACGCTAATGTTTTTGTCACTTTTTATGGAATCAAACTCAAAGTAAGGTCAGTACTTCCACGCTTTAAACGCTGCACGCTCATACTCTCTCCCACAATCAATATGTGATCCACTGTTGATCTGCACACAGCTGTTGTCACTAACGGCGCACTCGCTTACGTCACTGTCATGAGACATTCTCGCAAAAAAATCACGGTTTTAGTAACGCAGTAACGCTGCGTTCCTACGGGAAAGTAACGGTAATCTAATTACCGTTTTTGCAATAGTAATCCCTTACTTTACTCGTTATTTGAAAAATGTAATCTGATTACAGTAACGCGTTACAAGTAACACGTTACTGCCCATCTCTGAGTGACTCTAATTTGACAGCAAAACAATAGTTGACCACTGCTACTTGAGTCTATATATTATATAGACTCAAGTAGGTTACTCTTATATGTATTTGAGTATATATAAGAGCAACCTGAGGATAATGAATTTTCAGAGCAAATGTTGGGACTGCGTAGGTGTTTAGATATGATGCTGCAGACCAAAGTGTCTGATGGACTGAAACAAAGCATTAATTGATCACAGTAGTATTATTGGAGAGTTTAAGTACCAAACCAATGTGGTGGATCATTTCTTAATGGAAGAAGAAAATGCAAGATAAAAAAAGAAGACTTCCTATGCAATACCAGTATGTGTGACCTCTGTAGAACGAGAAGGTTTAGTGTTGAGAAAAAAGCTGAGAAAAAAGAGCAGATTTGAGATCCATTTTCTTTAGCACAGTGGTGTATTTGTGATAAACAAGCAAGTTCTAGTTTCAGAAGACAATATGTTACAGGCAGTGCACTGCTTGTGTCACTTTAGGTGTGCTGCAGCTTCTGTGAAAGTTTCAGTTCCTCTGCCTCATAGTTTGGTACTAATAACTAAAGTGAACTTGTGTATTTTTTCAGGTGACCTGTTCCCCAAAAACACAAGTTCAACACGAGTTCCTCTTAATCATTCGAAGAAATGTTGTTTTCACAACATCTCGGCTTTGTTAGGTGGTTTCAGTTAAATTAAGTGTACCTTATCCAGCTGCTGCTTGGAGTAGCGCTTGTACAGGATGGTGATGACAAGTATGTGATGTTAGCTTCGCCGTGGCAACTACCATCTGGGAGGAGAACACATACATTGACCACACCTTTGATATCTGTGCTGGGAATGTGGAACGTCACACTGACACCAGAGTTGTCCCAAACAGGAGACCTGACCAGAACACACACACAGAGCGAGAAAAGTCATCACTAAGATCATCATATTATGCAGAAAATCTGAACACAGACAAAAACTGATCAGTAAAATCTTCCACAGTATAATTAAAGATTTGTTTGTATGAAGAAATGTGTTTTCCAAACTTAACGCATCTACTGTGATTATAAAATATCCTGAGGAATCCTTTTAACACAGCAACTGACAGCGATGGACTTCTTCAAAGCAAAAGCACAGGAAGCACGGTGGAGTTTCAGTTTTACACTCTGATACCAAACAGTCTCTCTTAGCACCGACACTGAGAGGCAAATAGTGCATCACTCGTACCTGTACTTTCTGCAGCCTCTTCCAAAGCTAAAAGCTGTAAAGCTAAAGTTTTTTTTTTCAATTGTCAAAATTAAATTGTAGAATATTCAGTTTTAAATATGTCTCCCTGTTTGGAATTGTTTCTACACTTTAATAAATTCTTTCTAGTCCAGGAATCATCTTAGTTATCTGTAAAGTGACTCACTCTTTTGGAGCACAGTCAGTGTGCGTCTGGATCCTCACTCCTGACACGTCACCAAGGTTATGACCTAATAACACAGCATGGTTTGTGCCATACAACGACACCACATTGGGAGTGATGGAGAAGATCTCTGGGATCTGACAGTGAAACAAAAAAATAATCAGATTAAAATAATTTCCTTCTTCTGCCATTAAAACCTCTACTGGATGTAGATAAAGTATCAGAAGAAAAATAAAAAAAAAGAGCATTACACTCACAGAAAAGTTCTTCCCAGACTCCAACGTTTGGCAAACACTTTCCTGTAGCAGAGAATGAATTTAGCCTTGAATCACAACACTGTGCAGATGCTATTAGAGCTGATCTCAGACATGTTGTAGCTAACATTAGCTTTGTTCAAAACGTTTAAATGGTAGGAAACAACTAACCTGAGTATTTCCATTTAGAAACTGAAGTGAATCCTTTTACAATGAGGGAAATCTAAACTCTATTCATCAACTAGTCTAGCCTCATGACCTACTGCAAATGACACTGAAGAAAATCTGAATTTTTAAGCAGAGTTTATGTCTCACTTTCTACACATTTACGCAATATTGTTGGATTGGAAATGTTCCATACAACAAATGCACAACATGAAATGTGAAAAACTGCTACAGAAATCCATAAAAATACGATAGTTTCATTATTACATCAGTCTCTCCTTGGTTAGCCCAGGAACAGCTGTTTCTGCTCCAACCACAACCAGCCTTGATACACTGCTGACACCTGAACAGAAAACAATCATATAGGATCAGAGGACTTTGAATGTGCCTCATACAACTACTCATAAGATTCACTTATTTTATTTCATCATATTTATTTTGTATGACTAGGACATGGTTATTTTATAAGTCATGGGAATGATTATTTCAGTCTATGATTATTTTTTATCTTTATAATCTGACTAGACTTACAAGATAGAAGTTGGAGGTCCATGGATGTCAGAGCAGTTGGTTAATTTCATTTGTTCTGACATTTCATTTGTTTTTCCAAGCCTAAACTTTACTGTGACATGCAGGCCTGTAAAATAAATATATATATTAAATGATGAATTTCAAATGAGTTGGACCAATATATAATAATAAACAACAAAAGATTCAACTCAATTTGTCAAATGTTTCAAATCAATACATTCCTGGGATTATTTATCAAAGGTGACAAACCATCAGGAGGAAGTGTGTGATCAGACAGGTAGCAGGTGCACTTGGGGAACCGTGGAGGGTTATTCCCAATACAAAGGTGGCCAGAAATTGCAGAGAACTGGCAGGTGAAGTCAGACGACACTTTCTGGCCCAAAGTCAGGTGTGTGTGGATTTTCAGTGAGATCTAAAATCGGAAGTACATAATTAATCAATAAATGAAAACCAGAAATGATCACAGTCCCGAGTGTGTTTGTAAGCTGTACCTGTCCGTTTGTGTCCTTTTCAACTTTGTGGGAAATCATTTTGTGCTGGGACTCATCAGGAATGGACAGCCAGTCTGAATCTGTGCAGTCATCTTCAAATGTGCAGCTGGGAGAAGAAGAAGAAATGATCACCAAGTTCAAAATTGTTTGAAGACGTCAGCTGCAGATATTGTTTCTCTCACCTGCTTTTAGAGCCACACCAACCACAGTATGGATCCTGTGCAGACCAACACTCCTGCACATTTGTGTACGTGCTGCACTTTGACACAGGAACTCGCCTTATCTAGAACAACAAACACTTTAAAATGCAGCACAGGTACATGTGACGTTAAGATAATCAGTAAATAATATAAGTACCTGGTTTGTAAATGGCACATACACATGTTTACGATCCACTGGATCCAGATGCAATTTGAAAAACACTTTGTGGTCACCACTGGTCCTGTAGAGCACCGTGGGACAGGCAGCGTGATACTTCCTGTCCACAGACAGCTGACAACAAGAAGGTGATTATTTCTGAGACACTTAATCAAAAAATCATGCACAGACAATATATCAAATGTTAAATGTTACAACTTGCATTCAGAAAAACCATACAGTTTCTACATCCCCATCATCATCAAGTTAATCTTTGTTTCATCTTTCCAAAGAATATTTTCCAGGTCAAAGCCAACTGTTTGAGGTCTCGTGTCCTTCCTGTCAATAAGTGCAAAATTGTTTTTTGTATTTACATTCTTGAAGGCATCTCTTGATTTTAGAGTTTGATAAAGAGAGGTTCAAGACAGGTTAGTTCAAGACTAACCAATGAAACAATGCAGAGATCATCCACTGTAATGACCTTCTTCACTTGCACTTACATCTCTTTGGAGACCAAATGCTGAGTTCCAGTAAACAGGTTATAATATATTCCACTAAATAGCTAAATAAAGAACAAAGAATTCCCCACTCACTATTCTCATACTGTTTCCCTGCCTCTGAGAGTACACCTTTAATGGTTCAGGACTGGCTTCTATCTCTCTGGTATACGTCATTCAAGTGGCTGGCCAAAGCTGTGAGTCTTTGCGTGGAACACTCAGGTATGGACAGCTTGCTGCACTTATTAGCCATCTTGTTCTTCAACTCATCTTTTGCATCTCCAGTAGTTGGCTAACTTCCCTCTGTGCTGACTGAGCCTCTATATTTGTGTTCTGCCTCATCAGTCTCTAGTTTTTATAGCAGTTGCTTCTTCCAGATGTTGGAACACTGAGCAACAAGTTGCTTTGTCATTAGTATAGATGTCGTGTGCCAAAGAATCCTCAAGTCCCACATCCTCTTCATGTAACCTCTTCTGCTGTGATTACTTGCTTAGTAGCATTCCAACTGCTCTCTATTCTCAGCAGTTATCGACATTTGCCTTTGTATTCCAGTTGCAAACACACTCATCAGTGTGTCCTGGTTCCTCAACACCTGATGCAGGCCTTGTTTATCAGAATGACTTTTGAGACCGTATGGTATTCAATTTCATATATAAAAAATTCCTTAATTCCTTACCTTAATGAGCAGCCCATCTTCTGTCCAAATATAGAAAACCATCCAGGCATTCTGCCTCACTGCCAGCACTGAGGTCATGTAGCTTTGCCTGAAGAGGACTGCCTTTGGTTTCAGGATCTTTGGCTGACGCAAACAAAACATGAGAAACCAGAAGACCTGAACACTACTACTACTTAAAGCCTTATTGAAGCATCTTGCTACGTTATTATCAAACTGACCCAAGTTTATTGATGTTATCTTTTGATAGAAGAATGTATGTGTGTGTGAGAGTGAAAGAATGAATTTTGGCTTGTACGGCCCCTCATATTAATGTTTTACTTGCATCACTGACCAGAGAAGATACTGGAGCAGCAGGTGAGAACAATATCAACAGTACAACCATTAAATCAGAGTTTAAAAAGCTCTCACCGTCACTTCTGATGGCACAGAGGTGTAGAAGTCTGGATCTCTGTCAGTGTTCCTGCTGTAATCAGGGCTGATGTCAAACACCATTAGCTGGGTGTTGGTGTCTCCTCCATCCACACTGAACACGCCGCTCCAAAGCACCGGCTGCTCCCCCGGGATGACCGAGGAGGCCACAAGTCTGCTGCTTTGACTGTCAGAGACACTGAGAGTTGCGCCCCGCAGAGACTTGAGTGTATCAGTTTTGCTCTTTTCGCCTTCGAGCCAAATGAGACGGACTCTGTTTGTTTGAGCTGAGAGCGCGTTGGAGAACAGATAGATGGTTGAATTGATTTGAAACCCGTCAACAAACTCCACATCACCTTTACTTTTGATCCCAGGTGTGCCTGAAGCTCCATCAGTTAGAGAAAATATACCTCCACCCTGTTTGTCATCTGTATCCTGAAGATTGACAGTCTGCCGATTGATACCACACTTGTTGTTTTCGGGCTTTTCTGTGTTTTGTTGGATCGCGGTCAGAATGTAAGTGTCAGTCTGAGTTTTCTTCTTCACATCCACCAGAAAGCTGACTGACCTGCTGCTGCTTTTCAGAGGTCCCACCTGGATGTGTTCTCTGTGCAGAAGCTTGGAGATGTTCTTCAGGTCCAGAACCTCGCAGTAACTGCAGTCATCGTCAGTCACACCGCAGCTGATCAGCGAGTCATTGCTTGTGAAAGGCAACAACACGTTGATGCTGAAAGTTGCGTTCCACTCAGCTGTGTCAGAAACCCGGTAAAACTGCACATCATCCTGCTGGTTTCCGGTCTTTAAGATTCCTCTCTGGGTCAGACTGTTGATCAAAGTCAAGTCGTGGCTCAGCTGGTACAGCCTCTCCTCTGTGGCGATGTAAAGCATGTTGGGGGTCACGGCAAATTGGAGGATGTCTCCATCAAAGGTGAAGCCTTCATCCTCCTTCTGGCACAGACCCAGTTCTCCAGAGAGAACAGAAAGCAGAGCGAGCAGCAGGATCATCTTATAATAACGATAATTCTACCCGGGACACGCTCACACAGCGATGCTCTGCGTGGCACTCTGCTCTCTGACACTGTGTCTCTATACTTGTTCGTAAAGCGCAGAGCGCACAGCTGAAAAGAGAACTGCTGGAAGGAGGAGGGCTGGAGCGTGCCAAGCGAAAGTGAAAATATTTGAACATTTTCACTCAGCTGTTTTCATCTCATTTCCACCCCGTACCTCTGTACAGGCCAAAGGAACCCAGATGTGTCCCTTAGTCACATACTTTCTGCAGCAAGTTTGCTCACTACGGTTTAGTTCTTACTGTTCAAAACATATTTAGTTTTAGTTTCAGTCTTAGTTTTGGTAATTTTTTAGTTATTATTGTATGGAGGTCTTATGTTAGAGGCAACAATCAGCAAAATCAGTACAGTATTACAATAAAAGCACACACTGTTGAAATAGTTGTGTAGAAATCTCAAAAAATATGTGCATCAAAGCCTCATAAAGCAAGTTCAGATTCAAATGTACCAAACTAACAAACACTAAGTGCATATTTTCACATGTTCATTTTAGTTTGTTAGTTTTCTAGCATCGTAAGATTGCTTCAGTTAGTTTTCAGTTTGGTCTAGTTTTGTTTTAGTTAACTAAAATGTTTTGGTTTTTTTTAAATCACATTTTAGTTTTTAGTTTAGCTTTAGTTAACTATAACAACCTTGCAAGTTATACGATGATATCCATCTCAACAAGAATCAGAATCCAGAGTGGATGGAAGCATTTCAGTTATAATTATTTCTCAACTGAATTCCCAGTCCATGTCATGTAGTATGGGTACTATTCAATCAAAAATCATGAAGCAATTCACTAATCGATAACATGTTTGTTACAATCTGTTTAATGCTGTACTTATTAACATCTGTCTGTCAGTTAATGTCAAATAAAAACAAACAGCGAAACTGAGTTTGATGTATTTTACTTTCCCCTTTAACAAATAAGGAAATTGAACTGTGGACATAATAAGAGGCGATTTGGTGTTAGTGTAAAGCCAGATTTGACCTAAATCAATGGAAATATATGAACTGAGAAATAATTCAGACACAAAAGCCATTCAGTCCTGAGTTTAGGAATGTAATGGAAACTCTCAGCTAAGGACACACTTAGAGGAGCTGAGACGTTAGCACAGGCAGAATTCTGATATGCGTTGTGTCTGGATCTAATGTGATGATCTTTCCATTGAACAAATGATGTGTCCACTGATTAACATGAGCAGAAGAAACCTCAGCCAACTTTTAAAAAATGTAATATAAAAACTTCCTACACGTTTTAACTTGAGAACAGCAACAGCGACATCTAGTGTCAGTGTTGGGAAGTACTTTTCTCTTATTTTCTGGCATGTGACGTTTTTCATTTGCAAAACCTGACCAAACAGATGGTGTGCCTTCTGACAAACATATGTATTTATTTTAAATACACAGTTCCAGCTATAATAAAAAAAAAACACACTATACACTATGCAAAATAATTAAACACTAGGGAGCAGTGTTGGTCAAGTTACTTGAAAAAAGTAGTCAGTAACTAATTACTGATTACTCCCCCCAAAAAGTAATCCCGTTACTTTACTGATTACTTATTTTCTAAAGTAATTAATTACTTAGTTACTTGGTGATAAAGCGATAGATCTTTCAGCCCAATTCTGCTTTTTCTACATAATCCATCATACAAAATGTAATCAAATGGAAAAGTCTCTTTTTAAAACTTGTTTTATTAGTTTTAATCTTTTAACTTTATGCATCAAGCAAAAATTTAATTATATGCAACATTCTCTGACTGGAAGAAATTTGTTAAACTTATTTTCTGCACATTCCAGCACATAAAATA